TACAAACATAGTTAGTTTTTCTTTTTAGTCATAATAAATTAATAATTCATAATGAATTTGTTATCAATTAATAAACTAATTATAATATCTAATTTTATAAGATTTATTTGGGTGATTAACCTTTACTATAATTATTGCTATTTAATCATGTTGAAAAAAAAAACTACGATTAGGATATTATTCTAGGACATACTTTATTTACAATTACGTGTACTAAGTATTATTTATATTGATACACATTCTTAATTAATAACAATTTAGTAATTTTCAGGCATGCCGGAAGCATACGATGTAGTGATATCGGGTATTGCTGGACGATTTCCAGAATGTAACTCTACTGAAGAATTTAAACAAAAATTGTACAATAACGCTGATTTATTGACTGTCGATAACAGAAGATGGTCTCCAGGTAAATTCAATTTTGAATGAATTGTTCTGTAATAGTGTGTATTTTCGTGTATAAGCAATTATTTACCATTAAGTTTGAGATTAAAAAATTTAAATATATTGAATATCACTTAGGAATGTATGGTGTTCCATCAAGGACAGGAAAATTAAAGGATATACACAAGTTCGACGCAGAATTTTTTGGAATTCATTCAAAACTGGCAAATGCCATGGATGTACAACTTAGGATTTTACTTGAGGTTACACATGAAGCAATAGTCGATGCAGGTATTTTTATAAACTACAATATATGGTACGGGAAAATTTTTTTCATAGAAAACATTTAAGTTTTATTTATGGCATATTATTTGAAATTTACAGGAGTTAACCCACAGGACATTCGTGGAACAAGGACGGGAGTGTACGTTGGTATGATGACCAACGAATCTTCAGATTATTTTGAACGTACACCCGAAAAATTAACAGGATATGAAACTATTGGTGTAATAAGATCTATGTTAGCTAACAGACTCTCATTTCAGTTCAATTTTAATGGTATTAATTACTAAAATTTTCAATATAATCGAATTTGTTAGTTAAGAAATTTAAAATAATTTCAAACAGGTCCGAGTGTCGCCGTTGATACTGCATGTTCAAGTGCGCTATTCTGCTTACACGATGCCATTACTGCAATACAAACCGGTCAATGCGATGCAGCTATTGTTGCAGGAACAAATTTACTCTTAAAACCAGCCACTTCGGTCATGTATCATCGATATAATATGCTTAGTCCTACTGGAACAAGCAGACCTTTTGATATTGGCGGTTTGTTTAGTTGACGGAAACGTATTGAAATATATATTAATTCAGAATTTAAAAAAAACTAAATTATTTATTTATTACATTTAGCTAATGGTTACGTAAGAAGTGAAGCTATTGTAGCTCTTTACATAAGAAAATCATCAGATGCCAAACGTATATACGCGACTATTGTAGGAACGTCTACTAATACCGACGGGTTTAAAATCGAAGGCGCCACATATCCATCGCAGCCAGTGCAAAGTAGGCTAATCAGAGATACTTACGCCAGTGCAAATCTAAGTATTAATGATGTCCATTATGTCGAAGCTCATGGAACTGGGACGGGCGTAGGTCAATCGAATTAATGTCGACGATCATTTTTGAAATAATCTTATTTATGTATAGGTTGGAGACAAACAAGAATTAAACGCCATTTCAGATGTGTTTTGTGTTGACCGTAAAACTCCTTTGCTTATTGGATCAGTTAAGTCAAATGCGGGTCACACAGAACCAGTATCAGGTTTAGTATCGATAGCGAAGATGCTTTTTGCACTGGAAACAGGAATTATTCCGGCTAATATCAATTTTGAAACACTAAACCACAATATTCCAAAACTTGTTAGTGGAGAATTGAAGGTAACATGACATATTTTATTTTATACAATTTGAACGTATATTAATTCGATTGAATGTATTAGGTTGTTGATAAGCAAACTCCATTACCAGGGAATATGGTTTCCATTAATTCATTTGGTGTTGGAGGTACAAATGTTCATGTTATTCTAAGAGCTAACGAGAAAAAAGCGCAATCATTATCATTTCCAACACTGGAAATTCCGAGGATGGTATTTTTGTCAGGACGAACCAGAGAAGCATTGAATGAACAATTTGAGACCGTTAGTTATATCTTATATTCATAAATTTAGTCTATAATTCTATCAAACATATCTACTATAGTAGATTGTCTATTCATGCTATGAATAAAAAGTGTTTATTTATGTTATGTAGGTACTATTGACATTCGATGTTAAATAGGTTCACACTTATTTTAAACTTACATATTTTTTTAAATTTACTTATATGATATTTCATTTATAGCTAGAAAATTATGCAGATAACAATGATCTTTTATCTTTGATTGATGATATTTACAAATCTCCGATTCCCGGTTACAAGTTTTCTGGATATTCAATTCTTGGGGAAACTCCTAGAAACGTTGAAATAGCTGTAAGTTTTAAGTTAATTAAAAACGATTATAATAAACACAAAACTAAACTTAAATATTATTTTTCCAGCAAGGAAATATTTCCGGTGATAAAAGGCCAATCTACTTCATTTTTCCAGGCATGGGAAGTCAATCGTTAGATTTAGTCTCTGATTTAGTGAAGTTTAAAGTTTTCAAACAAACTGTAGACGATGCACATTCAATTTTAATCTCATATAACTTTAGTGTTTATGATTTGTTTTATAAATCCGATGAAAATACGTTTAAGAGTATAAAGAATGTTATGTTCACTGTTATTATTGTCCAGGTAAATTCGACTAACTGCGAACTGCATAGTGCATACAGTATTATACAATTTGTTATTTTACCTACATAAATGTTGTACATTTTTTTAGATAGGTCTTGTTAATATTTTACGCTCACTTGGTATCAACCCCGATGGTATCATTGGTCATTCAGTCGGTGAACTTGCATGTGCATATGCAGATGGTTGCTTCACTTTGAAAGAGGCATTAATGACAATGTACTGGAGGTCTACAATTTTGAAACAAATTGACGTTCCCGCTGGAGCTATGGTTGCAGTAGGACTATCGTGGGAAGAGACACAAAAAAGACTTCCCGAAGGTGTAATAGCTGCTTGTCATAACAGTGTAGACAGTGTGACTATTTCAGGAATGAAAGATATAACTTTGAAGTTTGCTGAAACACTAAGACAAGAAGGCATATTTGCTAAGCCCGTAGACTCGATGGGATATGCTTTCCATTCGCCATATTTACCAGGGTTTATATCTTCGTTAAAACCATACTATGAAAAGGTACATTCTATTTGTTTTGAATAAATGTATAAAAAAAATTATTTTTTAAATTTTAAGTTAACCCATACTTTTCAATGTTACAATTAATTAAATATTTTTATAGGTGATGGCTAATCCTAAGCCAAGATCCAGTCGCTGGAAGAGTACAACATTTCCCGAACATGAATGGAATACACCGGAAGCCCAGTACTCGTCAGCAGATTACCATTTACATAATATAAGTTCACCAGTTCACTTTCATAGTGCAATGAAACACGTACCTGAAAATGCTATAACGATTGAAATTGCCCCTCACTGTTTGTTACAAGCAATTTTGAAGCGATCACTGCCCCCTACAGTTACAAATGTTGGTTTGACCAAAAAAACTGTTTCGAATCATGTGAATTTCTTGTTGGAAGCAATTGGAAAGTAAGCATTTATTTATCTGGATTCTAGAATTCGATAATATTATTTGCTTGCTGAAAACGTGATTATATTTATTAAAGGTTATATATTGCCGGAGCAGAGCCGCAGTTACAAAATTTGTATGGCAAAGTTGAGTACCCAGTAGTTAGATTTACTCCAATGATATCTCCAATGTTAATGTGGGATCATTCAAACGACTATATAGTGCCCAATTTTGTAGAAAAAGTATGATCAAACAGTTGTATTAGTTAATATATTATACCTGTCTTTCAATTCAATTAATTGCATGGAAATAAAAATTGATTAGATTAGTATTTAGTTATTAAGTATTTAATTAGATTTTAAACTTAGTTAATATATATTTTTAGAGTTCTGGATCAGATGATAATGAAGTCGAAATTGATATAAAAATTGATCAAGATAAATATTTAATCGGTCATACTGTTGATGGACGTGTATTATATCCAGCAGCAGGATATATTGTATGAATAAAATAGTATAAGCTATTAATCCATATAATTTTTAAATTGTTTTTTAACATTAGATGTAAAACATTACATTCATGAAACCTTTTAAAAAATAATAATTTTATGTATTTCTAAAGAGAACATTTTGCTAAAAATATTTGAAAGACACAAAATAATGAATTTAAACGATTTAAACATTATTATTTTATTGATTGCTTTAATTCCATATTGTGCGTTTAGAAAATCGAAGCACACATATATCTTTCAGTTCTGCTCAAATATAAAATCTATTTACTTGGAATATCATATTTTCTGAAAACGTATACATAAGAAAAGGTTCATGGTTATTTCTAAGTTTAAATTATAAGAGCCCGGCTAATAGCTACTAATGGTAGTAGTATATTTTCAAAGTATGTTTTAGATAAGATCCACTTGTGATTACTTATGAGTTATAACTTATATAAGTACCTAAGTGCCCTTTGGTATTCATTGTATTTATTAATGTATTAATCGTTCAATAATTGTAGACATTAGTATGGAAAGCTTTCGCAAAGTTGCAAGGAAAATGGTTTGAAGATGTTCCAGTAACTTTCCGAAATATAAAATTTCTTAAGCCTACCGTCCTAAATACTGAGGGTAAAAATCATAATGATGAATCAATATATTTTCATTAAATGATTGCTATATACTTTAATTAATATTACATATTATATTATATATATTAAGGCACAGTTAAGTTCAACATAAACATTTTTCATGGATCTGGCGAGTTTGAGCTATTAGAAGGAGGGACCATAACAGTTTCTGGTTGTGTAAAACTATTAACCAAACAGTATGCAGAAAATCAATTGGAACATCTTACACCCATTTCGGAACAAATGGATTTGAAAGCTGACGATTTTTACAAGGAGTTGAGACTTCGTGGATATCAGTATAAAGATGAATTTTTAGGTTTTATAGAAGCAAACAGTGAAGGTAAATCCATTTAATAATATTTTAACAATTTATTATTAAGATTTTTTTTAGGTTCAAAAGGTAAAGTTGCGTGGACCGGAAATTGGGTATCGTATATCGATACCCTTTTACAATTT